CCTGCTGCTGCCGCTGCTCCTGCTGTCCCTGCAGCTCCTGGCCCTGCTGCCGCTGCTGCCCGCGCAGGCGGCCGGACCCCCCCGCGCCAAGGGCAACCGGACCCAGGGGGCGGCGGCGCCGCGGCGGACCCCCAAGCCGGGCAAGGAGCTCCTGAACCAGACGCTGGCGGGCCCGGGGGCCGCCGCCCCCACGGCGCTGCCCGGGCGCGGCAAGGGCGCGGGGGGCGGCAAGGCACCCTCCGGAGGCGGGGGCGGCGGCGGGGGCTCGGCCCCGGCGCACGAAACGTGCTGGGGCTACTACGACGTGAGCGGCCAGTGGGACAAGGAGTTCGAGTGCAACAACAGCCTCACGGGCTTCCGCTACTGCTGCGGCACCTGCTTCTACCGCTTCTGCTGCAACAAGCGCGCCGAGAAGCTCAACCAGAGCCTGTGCCGCAACTACAAGAGCCCCGAGTGGGCCCACCCCACCACGGCCAGCGGCTCCCTGCCCGCCGACGGCGGCGACGGCGCCGACGGGTACGCCAACAAGTACGACCCGGACAAGGACAGCACCAACGCCACCGTCTACATCTCGTGCGGGGCCATCGCCTTCGTGCTCATCGCCGGCGTCTTTGCCAAGGTGGCCTACGACAAGGCACGGCGCCCGCCCCGGGAGATGAACATTCACAGGTGCGATCCTTCCCTTGCTTCCGGCGCCCCTTCTCCCCGGGGACAGCCCCTCTCTGAGCGTCCCCCTCGGCAAAGTCTGCTCAAGGGCTTCGCCGTGGCGCTGCCCAGCCAAGGGTCCTCCTTTTGGCCGCCCAGCCGAGGGTTTCTCAATTGTGCAGCCTGTCCAAGAGTTTCCTATCATGTGGCCTTTCTGAGAATTCCACCTTTGCACATGCTGTCCAAGGGCTCAGTTTTTACACCGCTGCCCAGGGATGMTCCCACCGCACTCTCTGCTCGAGGAGTCTCCCTGTGAACTGCCCACTCCAGTCTCTATGCTTTGCACTGGCTCACTGAGTTTCCCCCTGCTCCACCCTTCCAAGGATTTCCCCGTGCAGTGACTCTCTGGCGGCTCCCCTTTCGTGCCACCTGTCCAAACCATTTCCCATTGTGCTGTCGCTTCGAGGGGTCCCCCCTTGAGTCATTTATCCGAGGGTTTCCTGCTTTGAGAGGGCTGTCCAAGGATTCCCTCTTTTCACCACCCGCCAAAGGATTTTCCCTTTCCATCCTCTGCCCAGGAGTTCCTCCTTTCCCCGGTCTAACCAGAGCCACCCGCACCCCTTGGGCCATCCCACTGCCCCCCTCGGGGCCTGTCCCGATGCCCCGTGGCTCCTGTCCCGTGGCCCCGTTTGTGGTCGCAGAGCCGTGCCTTCAGCACCGGCTGCGCGGAGAGCTCCGGGACAGCTCCCAGACTATTCGCGGACTGTTCCCGGACAGCTCCCGGACAGCTCCCGGACAGCGCCGGACCGCCCCGCGCTGCCCCGCTCTGCCGAGCGCCCGTCCCGGTGCGGAGCCGCTCTCGGCATCCCCTCTGCTCCCCGGAATCCACCTCTGCCTCCCGGCATCCCCTTCTACCACCCGGCATCCTTCATGCTTCCCCGCATCCCACTCTGCCCCCCGGCATCCCCCTCCTATCCCTCGGCACCCCTTTCCTGTCCCTCGGCACTTCCTCCTACCCCGGAGCCCCGCTCTGCACCCTGGCAGCCCCACCTTGCCCCTCGGCATCCCGGCATCCCGACACAACCCCGTGCACCCCCGTCCTGTCTCCCGGATCCCCCTCCTGTCCTCTGGCATCTCGGCACCCCTCTTCTCCCCCCCGGACCCCCTTCCTGTCCCTTGGCATCTCGGCACCCCTCTCCTGCCTCTCGGAGTGTACCCCTGCACCCTGGCACGCATCTGCCTCACCCTGCACCCCCATTCTATCCCCCAGCACCCCGACACATCCTTCCTGCCCCTGGCAGCCCCCTCCGGCCCCCAGCATGTCCCTCCTGCACCCGGGATCCCCAGCAACCCCCGAGACCCCCCTTGTCCCCTCCGAGCGTCCCCCACAGCTSTCCCGGACCCCCGCGGGCACAGCAGAGCCCCTCGGACCCTGCGGGTCCTGCCCCGCCTGGCGCACCCAGGGAGAAGTTGGGGAGGTGTGGAGGGGATGGGTGTGTGCCACCGGGCGGTGCCTTGGCCGTGCGGGGCCGGGGCTGTGCGGGCAGCACCGGCGGCGGGCAGAGCTCTGCACATTTCCTTTTTGACGTGGTTCCCCCTCTCGGTGCCGATAACTCTGTCCTTGCTGGCTGGAGAGGCGGCTCGGTGTCCCTCGGCAGCGGTGCAYGAACAGGGAGCGCTCGGCGTGCCAGAGAAAATCCTGCTTCAAAGCAAGAGCTCAGGCGGCTGGAGCAATCCTCCTTCTGGACAAATGCACGCTCTCTCTCGGTTCATATTTATTTTATGATGAAAAAGTCCCTCCAAATGATGAGTGCTGCTTGCGTGCTGCGAATCCGAGAGCTCCCTATGCCTGAACATAAAAATCAGAGGCTTCTTTAGGAGAGCAGTGGTGAGCGCCAGGGGGAGAGACCTTAACTCTAGCAGAYAATGCCTCTGAAAAATCATTTTAAGGAAGATTTTTAAATTAAAACTCTTGAAATCATTGACTGTATTTTAAAAGCTGAACTTCAGCTGCAATCAACAGAGACTGGGGCAAGAAATATTAGTTTTTTAGATGGAAAAAGAGATGAATGACGCAGTTTTTATTTATTTGGGGAGATGTGTTTTATTTAGACTCCTCCCTGCAGTCAGGACAAACAGTGAGGCTGGTTTACATTTGCTCAGGGTCTGGCCCACTTATTCCATCCCAAACCCCAGCTGCCCCTGGTCCCTGCAAGAAAATAACTTCACARTGTTAAAAACTACACACAACTGTGTAGAGGAAAGGGTCCTGATAGCAGCTTACCCAGAACATGGGCTCTTTTAAGTCTTTTGTTAACTAAGGGATGGTTCCCCAGCTGCTCAGCTCTTCTGGCTTCGAGGCAACTTGCCTGGGCCTTGTCTTCACACTAAATTTGGAAATCTGGGTTGGATGTCCATATGTTACTTCTGCTCCAGCTCCAGCCTGCTGCAGGGTTGGCTCCTTCACCCTTGGAAATCAGCACCAGCGTTGCCAGACTTGTCTGGATTGTTCCTGATGTTTTCATTTCTTTGATGCTTGCTTTGCTTTATTTAGATAAGTTCTGCTGAAATGATTCACCTGTGTGTAGAAGGATGAATGGCAGATTGAGTGCTTGGGAAGCTTGACTTCCAGAGCATTTTAAGGAGTTGATTGACTTCTATAATATGGTAGCTGGTAAAAGATTATACCTTTCTGAGCTGTGTTACCTGAACCTGATCAACATCACACGGGGGTTTCAATATTGTGAAGTGCATCTCCAGCAGCCAGGGCTGCATCGCGCTAAGCGCTCGCCGTGCTTCGAGCACAGTGTAAATACCAGGAGAGGAATGGGTTGTCTTTGTCTCTGACAGYTGCTGGGGGGTAACAGGGAAGGAGGAAAGCAGGATGGAGTCGGATGTTTCTGTCTGTTTGAGGTCGTGTTGTCAATCGGAGTGAAGTGTAACATCGAGAATAATTCTCTGGAGTGATGGAAGTGCATTAAACCTCCTGTGGGATGAGGAGAGTGGCAGCGTGAACAGAACTTGTTACAGGGGGCTGGAAGCAGCCTCGTGGGGCCAGGATCCCACAGCCAGGGAAGATCAATCAGGACTTCCCTGTGCTTCACCGTGAGCAGGAGCACGCTGTAAATTTTACTTGCTCGTAAATGCTCTCTGAGCAGCGCTGTGCGTGGCTGTTATTACCCTGCTCGTTTCTCATCCAGCTTTTACAGAAAATCCTTATTAACTCAYTCAGAAAGAACATTTTGAGGGAGGCAGGGCCCATTGAATATCTTTTGATAGGAGGGTTTCCAAATTCACGGGAGAGCTGTCACYGTGCTGTGGCAGGAAGGGCTGGCTGTGCACGGAGAGCTGCGTGTGCAGCTCCGAGCTGGAATCTGCTCCCGTTTCCAGGCACCACCACGGCCCTTTAAAGCACAGGCACTGCTGAGATTCTGGGCTCAGCAGTGGCAGTAACTGAGACAGTCGTTTCTAAGAGCAGTTAAGTGGAAGTGCTTTGAAAACCAGGAGCTGAAATATTCATATTTTACAGAAACGCTTGTAATGCTTTCAATGGAACTGATTTTTTGGTAATTACAGGATCTTTCAGCCTGGCCATATAAAACAGCCTCTTGCTTTGGGGCTGCACAGCCAGAACTATTGCTGGGCTCCAGGTAGAAGCTGGGGCTGATTTCTGAGAATTAAACCCAGCAATACTGTGTGTGCTGATGCTTTCTCATGCATTGGTGAGGATGATTTGCTTTCATCACATTGCTGGGGTTGTTTTCTTTTCTTGAGCATTTCTTAAGTAGGCAGAGTATTTGCTTTACTTTCAGTCTGGGGATGAGTTGAGGAATCTTTAAACAGGAAAACAGGAATATCAGCTGGCTCTTTCCAAAGCTGGCTGTGTTTTTCTGTGGCAAGAAGGGGTGACACAGAATGTTCTCATTCCTTGACCGTGACCCTGCATCCTCACAGATGCCACAGAACATAAATAATTCACAGATGTAGTAGTGCTGCTCCATGACCCCTGGTTAGCCTCAGCAGCAGCCACTGCCCTCTCTGCTGGGCTGGGAATGCACAGATTGGAGCCTGGATAAAGTCTGCAGCTCGGGATTGAAACATCCCCAGTGCATCCCAGTGGGCAGCCAAAACCAAAACCAGAGGGACGCAGGGCAGCACTGACCCCAGGGCTCTGCTGGGAGCCCAGCTGCTCTCCTGGGCAGCAGCACTATGATTTTGCTCATCAAGCCAGCTCTGTATCCTGCTGAAAGGCCTTCCCTGGCCTTGCATGGAGCATGTCTGAGGGGTGTGAAAGGGAAAAGGGAAACAGGCGCTGTGTGCCCAGTGCTTCACTTCACCCTCCTCCTGCAGCGTCTGGGCTGCTGCAAAGAGGAAGGGGTTTGTGCTCCTCCTCTCTTTGGCCTCTGCCTTTGCATCTCCAGCTCTGTGAATGAATGACAACTGACAGCTTTTACAAACGAGCATCCTTTCCCTGTGTAGAGACCACAGTCCAATGGAGCCATTCCTTGTTGTTTCTTCTCCTCAGCTCTGAACTCCAACAGGATCTGTTTGCCCCCAGATCTGAGCAGGCAGCTGCTCTGTGTGAGCCTCACTTGAAAACCAGGAGGGTTTCTGTTCCTGCAGGCTTCACCTCAGGGCAGCTCGGGCCCTGTGCTTGCTGAGGGGCTGCTGGAGGGGAGCTGCTTTCAGGTGTGAAGGTTGTGAGCGGTGCCTTCCTGCAGCCCTGCTGTTTGAGGGGCTGATCACAGGCAGCTCCTCCAGCTCTGYTCCCTGCTGCCAAGTGCTGCTGGGGCCAAACCATCAAACTCCATCGGTCCCCAGGGCAGGGAGGGTGTGCTGTGAACACACCTGGCCACAGGGACTCTACAGAAGGTTTTCTTTCTTGGATGCTGTTCCTGCTTTCGGCCTCTTTCCGCTGCTGTGTTTTTGCGCTCTGCCTTTTGTCACTCTGCTCAGGCTCACCCGGGTGCCTTTCAGCTGCTCTTGGCCCTGCTTTGTGCTGTTTAACCCTGATGCTTTCTGAG